AGGAGAGGACTTGAAGGATTCTACCGCTCCCTCTGCATGGCGGACCCGATCGCTCCTCTCCACCTCCAACTGCTGGATCAGGTCATGTTTCTCCCCTTCCAGCTCGACCACTCGAGCAGAAACAGATTCTACCTCCAAGGACAAGGAGGCCTTGTCTGCCTCAAGGGCGACGCAGCGGTTCTCCTGGGAAGCTTTCTCCATAGCAAGCGCCGCGCAGCGATCTTCTTTCTCCTCCAACTCCCTGGTGAGTCGAGCGACCTCCTCCTGCAGCTCCTTCTGCTTGGCCTCGGCTGCTTTCATCGCCTCGTCCGCGGCGGCCTGGCGACCCCGTTTCCGGCCGACCACCTCAATCATCCCCAGCGTAGCCTGCGCAAAGGGGTGAGGGTTAAGGGCCTAAAGAAAAGAAGTGAAGCATAGGAGATCAAGACCAGTACCTGACTGAGTCTCAAAAGGACCATGTTGTCGAGGTCGTCCTCGGAGCCTGCCGAGATACGAGCCCGGTCTTTTGCAGGCAGAGTGATAAGGGTCTCCAGCTGTACGTCCCCTAGGCTTTGGGGCAGGGGAGGGATGCAGAGCCTCGTCGAGCGACCCCCGGTCGCTACCTCGTAGGTCACTGCGGGTGGTGATGGAGGTCGCTCCAAGGCAATGCCCTGAGACGACCCAACGAGTTCACCACCCTGCATCACGGGGTGTGGAGGGGATTGGCCAGCCATGGTACCCGGTTCCTGGGTAGCATCTTCTTGGTCCTCCACCACAATTACAGCCGGCACTCGAGAAGGACCCTCCTCGTGGTGAGATGAAGAACGTTTGCCCTGGCCCTTTGTCTCTCTCTTCCTTTTCCTCCCTGCAGTGAAGCGACTGAGCAGGAGATCACTGTCCATCTCCTCTCCTGAATCTTGTAATTCCACTGGAAACGAAGGAAATGGTTAGCCTTGGGAAAAGATAAACTAAACATCTGGGCAAGAGAAAAGGTCACCTACCAAAAGGACCACAGTCAAGACCTTCCTCAGGAATGTCCTTCAGCTGGTCAGGCTGATGCCCCCCGGGGATGTCCCTCAGTAGGTCGGGTTGGTGGCAGAGCTCATCCTGGACAAACTCGAACCCAGACCCGGCAAGGGTTTCCTCTGTCACCACCTCTTTGATGTTCATAACTCCCTTATTGCAGAATTGGCGAGTGATAGACAAAAGGGTGGCACCAGGTGGGGGGCGTGGGATGCGACGGAAGGAAGGGCGCCCTGAACCCGTGAAAGGAGATTCGGGCCCCGTCGAAACGAAGACAAAGAAAGGCTTCCAGTCTTTGGTTGACCCCTTCTTATCACTAGCAAAGAGTTTACTGGACCTCTGGGAAAGACTGGCATAGGACGCCCAATCTTTATGGCCCTTGGTCAGTTTGAA